AGTCAGAAGTCCACTCAAAAGCCATGGTATGCAAAATATTATTCTTTTCTTTATTTGTGCAAAATGAAAGGTGTTGACTTTTTTACTTTTTCTTGATAGTTGAAACAAAGATTCATTGATTCATGTGGAGTTCTAAGCTCAGCATTGTGGGACAATGCCTATTTACTTGATAAACTGTAAGTTTTTTTTTTCTTAACACATTATTACACATGGTTTTAAAAGGCATTCGAGGCGGCGGTAAGGCGGTGAGGCAGGCCTTTTAAGCCTGAGAGGCGTACGCCTTGCCAGGCCGAGGCGGTATGAGGCGGTTGAGGCGAAAATGAGGCGGTAGCCTCGCTTTAAATTAAGATTTCAGCACCTATGGGTTAAATGATGCTCCGTACAAAGCAATTGGGCCTTAAAAAAATCTTGGGCATTAGATTTTTGTTAAAAACTTCTTACACTTGATAAATTAGGATTTCTTTTACTTGTACTTCTGTCTCTCCATCTTCTCTCGCACAATACTTCAGCCTCTCCATCTTCAACTTTAGCACACCCCATCTACGATGCACCTTTTGTTCCTTCGGTCTCTCCATTTTCATAAGATAATTGCTTCATATTCTTTTTTATAGACAAAAATTGCTTCATATTCTATTTACTTCACCTTTAAAAATTTTCAAGTTTTTATTCCAACTTTAATTTTCTGTCCCTTTTCCCAGCACTACACTCCCTCTTCATCCATGCGATTCGTATGAAGGTCACTTAACTACAAATATCATTGTATTATATAGTGGAAATAAACTTGTCTAATTTTGGTTATGTAGTAAAAATCATGAAACTTTATTCATTTTATCATGTTTGAAGGCAGAATTTAGGCATTTGTGACTTTGCGTTTTATGTTATTGTTTAAATTTTTTAGAGTAATTCTCTCTTCTTATTTTTTTGTATTTTAAAAACTAAGATTGGGTATTACTTTTTGCTCTCGTCTGGTCTTTTTTCCCGTTCTGTTTGCCGCTTTCCGCGGACGCGACTGTGGTTCTGTGATGTTTATGTGGCTGTATTGTTGCCTGTGATTGTACGCCATGTTGCCTGTAATACCCAATCTTAGCTTTTAAAATACAAAAAAATAAGAAGAGAGAATTACTCTAAAAAATTTAAACAATAACATAAAACGCAAAGTCACAAATGCCTAAAATCTGCCTTCAAACATGATAAAATGAATAAAGTTTCATGATTTTTACTACATAACCAAAATTTGACAAGTTTATTTCCACTATATAATACAATGATATTTGTAGTTAAGCGACCTTCATACGAATCGCATGGATGAAGAGGGAGTGTAGTGCTGGGAAAAGGGACAGAAAATTAAAGTTAGAATAAAAACTTAAAAAATTTTGAAGGTGAAGTAAATAGAATATGAAGCAATTTTTGTCTATAAAAAAGAATATGAAGCAATTATCTTATGAAAATGGAGAGACCGAAGGAACAAAAGGTGCATCGTAGATGGGGTGTGCTAAAGTTGAAGATGGAGACGCTGAAGTATTGTGCGAGAGAAGCTGCACTGTGCTAGGTTGAAGATGGAGAGGCAGAAGTACAAGTAAAAGAAATCCTAATTTATCAAGTGTAAGAAGTTTTTAACAAAAATCTAATGCCCAAGATTTTTTTAAGGCCCAATTGCTTTGTACGGAGCATCATTTAACCCATAGGTGCTGAAATCTTAATTTGAAGCGAGGCTACCGCCTCATTTTCGCCTCACTGCCTCAACCGCCTCATACCGCCTCGGCCCGGCAAGGCGTACGCCTCTCAGGCTTAAAAGGCCTGCCTCACCGCCTTACCGCCGCCTCGAATGCCTTTTAAAACCATGTGTAATAATGTGTTAAGAAAAAAAAAACTTACAGTTTATCAAGTAAATAGGCATTGTCCCACAATGCTGAGCTTAGAACTCCACATGAATCAATGAATCTTTGTTTCAACTATCAAGAAAAAGTAAAAAAGTCAACACCTTTCATTTTGCACAAATAAAGAAAAGAATAATATTTTGCATACCATGGCTTTTGAGTGGACTTCTGACTAAACTTCAGGACATCTTGATAGCCAAACTTGTTTGTTGTCTTGATCATTGGCTATTAGTCCATAGAAGCATGATTTTCTAATCCAATTGATTGCCTCTGAGATGTTTGATATTTCTATTTCTGATAGTTCTTTTGGATGGGGCATTGTTCTATTTTTTCGAGATTATTCTTGGTATCAGTCATTCCATTTATGGAACAAATGGTCCTCCCTTCCGAATAGAACTTGGGAATACGGTCTGCATCTAGAAAGGAAAAAACAAATCTTTCTTTTGGGGATCACTATTGATTTATGTTATCAGGAAGTTCATTAATATGATTCCTTCTATGTTGTTGAGTACCTTAGGTGTCACATGATATGCAGTATGAAAGGTAAAACGGAATGTGCTTGTTTATACACTTATTGAAGGCTATTTTTACATCACAAATTTTTAATGCAGTCATCTAGAGAGTGAAAGCTACATACATGACTACTGATAAACTCTGGGCAGTCACCGAATACAACACTAAGACACAGGTATAAATCCATATATCATATTTGTTTATATAATAGAAGATCATCTAGCTTTACTGTGCAGAAAGATATAAACGATTTCTTTTAGAACTGAACTTTTAAACCATGACCAATAATAACATCCTACCACTATGGTCTCCTACCACCTCCCACTCGAATGGGATCCCAAGTGAAGTTTCTGAAAGCCACAAGTAGCATAACATTTCCAGGGAGGGAGGATCAATAGATGGCAGCTCACTTTCTGCTTGTGTAATACCTAAAATCTGGAGAAAATTTTCCCTACATTTCATGATAGATCTCAATTACAAATTTGAGGCATTTTAAAAAAAAACAAAAGGAGTTGCACTTTCATCCAAATATTAAAACATTACTTGGGTTTTACAGGTTCCCCAATTCCAATATTCTCTAAAGTACCACGCACTTCGTCTAAGCTGATTGGGATTCTATTTTCCATGATTTATCTGCAAATGCAAATACATGTAATAGCAAAACCGTAGAATATGCAAACTATTTTTCTTCCCCTACCTCTATCCCTAAAGCTTTTCAGAAATAACCCCTTTTTTTTGAACTTTTTCTATTGAGCTTCAAAAGTTTAAAATACAAAAATCCTCAAACTGAGGGGTTAGAGTTGAGGGAAAAAACATCACAGACCAGAGATGAGGCAGAGTAGGAGGCAAAATATTACCTTCAAGACGAGAGCGAAAAAGAGCCGTTGATCGAAACAAGACTTAGGGCAAAGGTAATTACCAAAGACGACACCCTCTCATGAATAGGGCAAATTATTGGGCCGGACTATTGGCATTTTTCTTTTACTTATTTGTAACTATTGTTTTGCACGAACTAAATAAATAAATACTTTCTCCGTGCCAAATTAATGTTGGTGCACCTAATTTTGATGCAATCCTGACCCTTAGATCTCACCCAATTTTGATGCAATAAATAACAATGATAATAAATACTTTCTCCGTCCCAAATTAATGTTGTTTACTATTCACATAGTCAAACTTTATTTACTTTCTCTATTTTCTGCAGTCATTTGATAAAATAAAATAATCATGTCACCACTAATTTTGTAAATATTTTGACACAGTATTTTACTATATAATTTTTATTTTTTTAACTTTATACCTTTTTTTCATATTTGCCAGGTGGATGCCAAGGACTACTCTGTAGATTTGCCTTGAGACAGCTCTTCTGGAGATTTGGGAACATAGAGATAGATTTTCCCCGGAGCATAAAAATAAAACTACTTACCTTATCAATTATTATGGTAGAAGTGTCAACATCACCAAATGTCATTCCTTTATCATGCAACCAAATGAAGAGGCTTGCAAGTTGAGTCGCCACCTCCATTCTAGCATCCAACCCAAAGTTCTTACCTGCTCAAAATAATGACACATCAAAGGGAAAACCATAAAATCAAGTCATAAACGATTGTGATGAAAACTAAACTTAGATACCAGCATAGAGCTCCTCTGATAAAAAATTAGTTGGTTTTTCATCATACACAACTGCAAGTATATGTTTAAAACAGAAGCCCTTCAACTTCATCAAAGTCGGATGTGGATTTTCATCGATCAGTATTTCAAGCTCATTCTGCAGCATTTACCAAAAGCAAATAATAAAAATATTAAGAGGAAAAATATATAAATCCAACAGCAGCGAGCTAACAAAACATACACAGAATCTCATAGGGTGGTCCTCATAAACACGCTTATCGGGACAAAAGAAATCCCAGGTTTTGATGGTCACTTCACGATTGTCACTAAAGCCTCGGAACAATCTCCCATGCATAGTCTTCTTAATTAAGTATTTCGAACTAAAGTTATCAGTCATCTCTTTCAAATCATCCAGACTATATTGTTTTGCACCATTCAATGGTGGTGGATCCAACTCCCAAAGTGAACTGCAGAAAATTAAAGAACAAATGGTGCAAATGTAGAATTACACGTCCAAGAAAAGGCAAAGGGACTACTGATAGTATAATTGAAAAGAATAATAATTAAGCAGTTGGAGCTAACTCTATGTAGTCCTGAAAGTGTATGCAAGTTAGATTATCGTGGATGTAACCGCTTAAAGTTAGGGAAAAACACAAAAGTATTTGACCCAAACACTTTTTACCCAAGCAAACTTTTGGAGAGAGCGACTCAGTGGAAACATGATTAAGCAACCAAACAAAGTGAAAGAGTATTACGGACACCTAAACACAAAAATCAAGAGTGATGTACAACTAACAACTTTAGAACACACACGACATGACATACACATACACACACGAACACACACAGTCATGTTAGGCAACACCTTTCATAACAATGGCATTTTCTTGAAAGAGAGAAATTTTGGAGGCAAATAGCCATGTATTTGTAAAGTTACTTACCATTCAACCCAGAACCATAGTTGTTAAGGCGTCGCTTAGGGGATAAGGTGCTATCCCTTGGACGCCTTTCATGTCTGCCTCGCCCAGAAAACCTCTAGGCGTTAAGGCACTCGCCTTATGTCGTCTTATCTTCGCCTCATGCCAAGGCATCGCCTTACTAGCTACTCACAGTAGGTTTAATTTTTTTTAAAAAAAAAAATATTTCATTCTTCAAGTCTATTTGTTATCTATTTATATTAACATTTTAATTACATATGTTGCGCCTTATATCTATTTGTGATTATATTATGTTTGAGGATTCATAAAAAGTATGTAAAGAGTATGTTTATATTACAGATACCAAAATACCCCCACCCCCAAATCATTCCTCCCCAGTTCAAACAAACGAAAAAGAGAATCTTCTTGATGATTGTTGACACATTGGAGCATTAAATTATAATTACCCCAAGTTCGTCTAACCCTGGGCGATAGCAACCAAACAAAAGCAAAGAGTTTCATACAAAAATCAAATTACGAGATCTTCAGCAGGGGAACACATAAACACACACAAACAGAATATATACCCTTCCTCCTTCAGCCATCGCTCCATCTGAATGCAGCCAAGCGCAAAGGTTTCCATGTAAGATTGGCTGAGAGTTGTTGTTCTTGACTTGAGGTTGTCCAAATGCAAGTAGTATGCAAAATAACGCCACCGATCCAGCGCTTCCCTCAACATTTCCAGGCTTTCCATCGACTCCACCGTCGGCTAGCTAGCGGAAGAGGATCGAGATCGTCGCCGTCGACAATTCAAATAGGTATTGAGATAGGTATCCCTAATCATCTGGATGGATTGGATCATGGATATTGCGAGCGAGTTTTTGGACTGGACCCAACTAGGAGGACTGAGCATGGATTGGTTTCGGTTCGAAACCTAAAAAATTGAATTGAGATTGGTATATACCTAAACAGATTCGATATTGCGAGCGCGTTTTGGCGGGCTGAAAAAAAAAAGACGAGAACAGTCGCTGTTTTGAATAAGATGAATTTGAAAATTTGAAATCACCCAATTGAACTATTCGCCGTTATTAAAAAATCTTTTTTTGTTTTGATTTTTTTGTCAATAAACATTTTGATCATAAATTGTTAAAAAAATATATTTAATCGTAATATAAATTTAATTTAATTAGGTTTATCTTAATTATAACATACGTTTAAAAAATGAAGTGCACACTCTTGACTCAACACTGATTAGTTTGAATAATCACAAAAGTAAAATTATGAAAATTCACAAACTATCGTAACACTACCAGATTTATCTTTTCAATTTTTGAAAAAAAAACCATAAAATATAAAAGAGATTGAAGAACATTAAACAACTCAACAAAAAACAAAATGTTGAAATAAAAGGGATTACAAAGTCATATTAATCTCCGGATTCAACTCCTGGCAATATTGATAAATGACAATGACGTAACATTAGGTGATATATTTAACTCTCTAGTGTTGGGAATTAATATTAACGTTTCGGATTACTATATTTCATCAACATTATTTTAAACTCAATTTACTTATATATAAATATAGATATTTTAAAAAAATTATATATTCTAAAAGTACTCCATAAGTTCTACAAGAAAGGGTAAAAATATTTACAATTATTTTATTTCATTAAATGATTGATGAAATTTAATGCGGTAAAACAAAATAAATAGAATATAATTTGACATTGTAAGCAGTACTCTTTCCGACCTTAAGTATTTGTACATTTTTTACTTTTTCTAAATAAAATTAGCAAACTTTGATCTTAAATTAAATAAAAGTGATTTGATATTTATACAATAAATTGTTAGATTTATTGTATAAAAGAGTTTCAAGGTATTATTTTAACTTTATTAATATAAAATGTATATTTTATTTAATTATAGGTCAATGATTGATATATTTGAGTCTAAAACATCAAAATTGAACATATATACTCACAGATCAAATGAAAAAATTATTACACCCATTTTTACTAAGATTATTTTTGGTAAAATTTCATTTTTTTTCAAGGAAAGAGTAAGGGGCTGTTTGTTTCAGCCTCTTAATGGTTCAGATGTCTAAATGATTCAGCACTTAATGGTTCAGACTGTTTGTTTCAGCCTCTTAATGGTTCAGATGTCTGAATGGTTAAGAGATTTGCTTCTGAATGGTTAAGTATTATACAGAGTCTGAATGGTTAAGAGCTCTTATCTGAATTGATCAGACATTTGCCTCTGAATAGTTAAGCAATATACTAGCTCTTAATGGTTCAGACCTCTTACTGGTTCAGCACTTAATGGTTCAGACCTCTGGTTCAGCACTTACCTAAATAAGTTTTTGAGGATGAGGCCAGCGGTGAAACGGAAAGATGGCCAGCCAACTAAAGATGGCGTCATCGCACCGCTGCATGCACCGTTCACGCACGGCTGATGCTGGGCTTTACGCGTGTCCGTTCGGCGTGGGCCCCACTCGCCGTCTTCCTCCCCCACACTCTCCCGCGAACCCAACCCAAAAAAAGAAAATCAAGAAAAACGTACAGAGGCAATGGAACAGCGCACAAAGCAATCAATCCCAACAATGGCGACCCGTTATGGCCGCAAAACCCTTCAAAGCTTCCACATTTAGGGTTTGGGTTTCTCCCTTTTCTAGCATTTATCCAGATTCTTAGCCTGAATTTTCAGAACACTTATTTGTCTTTTACATTTTGCAAAAAAAAAGAAAAGAAAAAATCATGCATTGGTTGGAAATGTGCTGTTTCTGAAAATCTTTGGGCTTCCATTTATTTTGCTGTCTCATATTAGCAGATAAAATGCACAAAAGTTTATTTCTTTTTGGTTTTGGGATTCTAATAAATGTGGTTAATAAGTAATAGGTCTGCAGATTTATTGTTTTCGCCTTTCGGTAGTAAGAAATACTGATTTGATTATTGTTTCTATCTTTGGGTTCCATCATTTTCTTGCTCTTCACTCTTAGCATTGGGTAATCACTGCTTTGAGCACTTCATTCAACACCATTAGCATTCTATGTTTGTTTTTATTGAATGTTGGGTTGATTTAATGAGGAAATTAATTTAATTTGAGCTTTAATATTTGAAGATGGAAAAGGTTTCATGAACTTTAATTCTTGGGCATATAAGGAATAAGATGAGCTACAATTCTCTTTTTTCACTGTGTGTGGAATGGAGTTTGAAGTATGAACTGTTCTTTGAGTGACATTTCAAGAATGATGTGATTATATATCCACTGGCCTTTCTTTCTCTATTTTTTCCTATTTTTGGAATATGGTATGTCCTGTTACATTATAGCTGGCATTCTTGTTTGGTTTCAAGCTGAAAATTGAATGCTTTGATCTGTACTTGTATGGGAATATATACTCTAGCCTGAGAGAAATTACATTTGCATAAGATGTTTTCTCAAAATTTTTTCTTCCTTTAACTTCCCTTCAGTTCCTTTGAGGTAGAGATAAGGTCTGCCTAAAACTTATGCCTGTTTGGTTTGGTTTCTTGAGGAACCCTTTTGCTAGTTAATTGCATCTCTTGACGATGAACCTTGTTATGGTACAAACTTCATGGTATTATTAATCCAAGTTAGTTGTCAAGAAACTTTTCTTTTTTTGCATGGCTCGGTTTGTTTGGATGAAATGCTAGCTTATTCTGCATGTGTTAGTTAGAATGCAACTGTTTTTAACCTTCCTTGGGTTTAATAACGAATATTTTGCAGGAATTACAGTACAAAAGTTTTGGTTTTCTGTGAAGATCAATTCACTTTGCCTGTATGCAAGAAATGGCTGTGGAAGGCAATAACTCCAATTCATATGGCCAAACAACAATGATGTCTTCAGATGCATCTGGAATCCATGATGTAGGGTTTTTTGAGTCTTTAATATCTGAAATCTCCTCAAGACACAACAGCCCTTCAACTTATTCTTTTGAAAGCTCGTCGAAATCGACTCCAAGAATGTTAAATGTGAATGCACATTTGATTTATAATAATGAAGTCAGCAAGATGTTTCTAAATAAATTATCTCCAGAGCCACTGCCAAGAATTGTTACAAATGATTATTTCGTCAACGATGCGCATTCGCTCCTACCGAACACACCAATATCACAGATTCACAGGCAAGGGTATAAGAGGCAACAATCACAACCCATGACCAATGTTGATATTTATGGAATGGAGGCTTTGAAAAAGCCCAGACTAGATGCATATAAAGAGGATGTGTTGGACCACCGGTTTAACCGGAAACTACATTTGGAAAAGAGTCTCCTTGAATTGCANCCAAACAACGATGATGTCTTCAGATGCATCTGGAATCCATGATGTAGGGTTTTTTGAGTCTTTAATATCTGAAATCTCCTCAAGACACAACAGCCCTTCAACTTATTCTTTTGAAAGCTCGTCGAAATCGACTCCAAGAATGTTAAATGTGAATGCACATTTGATTTATAATAATGAAGTCAGCAAGATGTTTCTAAATAAATTATCTCCAGAGCCACTGCCAAGAATTGTTACAAATGATTATTTCGTCAACGATGCGCATTCGCTCCTACCGAACACACCAATATCACAGATTCACAGGCAAGGGTATAAGAGGCAACAATCACAACCCATGACCAATGTTGATATTTATGGAATGGAGGCTTTGAAAAAGCCCAGACTAGATGCATATAAAGAGGATGTGTTGGACCACCGGTTTAATCGGAAACTACATTTGGAAAAGAGTCTCATTGAATTGCAGGAAAAGAATTATGAGCTGAAGACACTGATAGAGCACCAGAGACAGCAGAATCAGATACACAAACATATTTCTTTTATGGGCCTTGAGGAACGTGCTGCTGTTCAAGCGGAACTATCAGACTGGAATCCAGCCCAATTCTCTTCCCTACCTTACTTTGATAGCGATATCTGTATCCGACGGCTAATGCAGTACTTATATCATATGAGGCGCCGACCAATTGTTAGTTTCTTAAATTACAAATTAAATGCTCCGTATTACACTACTCCCTCCGTCCCAAAAATGAATCGTGTTTGGTCAAGGTACAACCTTTTCAATTTTGGCAAGGGACAACGGATAGGAGTCATGAAATCATATTTGATAATTTTAAAATCTGTTTTCCTGTTCATGTAAATGCATGATATTCAACTTGTTTAAAAATATTTTTGGAAAAATAGTGGACAAGTACTTGAAAATTATTAGCATTGTTTGATGAAGCGGGACTCGTTTTTTGGACAAAAACTTACGAAATATGACATAGTTTTTTGATAGAGAAAGTATTTTATTACATTACTTTCACCCGCCCCCCAAAAAATAGTCATGTGTTTTGCGTACTGGTTTTGTCAATTGCCAAGGGAGATAAAAGGGTCATTATTGACAATCTTTTAGCTCTGGGTAAATAATGAACTAAATCTTAATGACACACTTAACTTCCTTCGATTTTTACTATTTTTGAAGCTTCGGGTAGTGAAAGCAGCAATTAATCAAGGGTCTAACAGAAACAACCTTGTTCTTTTACGGGTTAGGCTTGCTATATGTTGACCATCTTAGGCCCCAACCGAGTTAGGATTATATTGGATTTAGTTGGTTATGTTTTGTGTGCTGACTTAAGTATTAGAAACAATACTCTTTTTGGGACAGAGGTAGTATCTTCTTATTTGTACTCTCTAAATCTGTTTAATTGTTGTGAATCAATCTTGGAATGCATGTTCTGCAGAATAATGACATCGACTATTGGAGGAAGTTTAGTTCAGAATATTATGCTCCTTGTGCTAAGCAAAGGTGGTGTTTGTCTAGGTGCAAAAATGTAAGCCAACAAGCTCTAGATCTTTTCACGGAGACAGCCATGGTTAGACCTTGCAGACTAAGAATATCTGTTTCGTGTTCTCTCTCTCTCTCTCATGCTTGTTTAATTCCCAGGAATCTTGGTGCTGTAGCATTTGTGGTTCAAAATCCTCAAAAGGATTTGGTAAGCATTGTGTGATTTTAATTAATATACAATGTGAACCCCGTAGGACTATGTCCATATGAAATCATTCACTTTTCACACTGAAATCTATACTCTTGTGTCCAAAAACTGCCATTACTACCCTTGCAGAAGTAACATATGAAGCTCTTCCGAGGCTTTTCAAAACAAATTTTGAGAGTGGGATGCTGGATGAAATCATGTTCCTTGGATTGCCTCAAGAACACATTTTTCCTTCCGGGTTAATAATGTTGGAATATGGCAAAGTAGTTCAAGAGAGTGTTTATGAGAAATTTCGCATCGTTCATGAGGGTAAACTTCGTGTAATCTTCAGGGGTGACTTGAAGGTGAGCTTTATCACCGATAAGGATGCATTTAGAATAACATTTTTAAAATTCCTTTGCATCTTGTATTTGTATCTAACGTTTTCTCTCCCGTATCCTTATTTATTCTCTCTACATTCTCAGATTGTTTATTGGGAATTCTGTGCACAATGTCATGAAGAGTTTGTACAGCATCAGTTGATTGCTAGACAGGTACAATATCCTCCGGGATTTGATAAAAGTGATGAACTTTGTGGATAGATAAAGCTCAAAGTACGTTTTAGTGCGCTTATAAAGAAAAATGGGTAAAACGGAGAGAGAAATGGTAAGATAAAATACTCCATTTGCCTCTAATTTAAGAGCCCCTTTTCCTTTTTGGGACCTCTCAAAATAAAGTTATCATTTTCTTTTAAGGGAGAACCGTGTGGTTCATATTATTTCTCTCATTTCAACAACAAAATCTCATCTTTTTAAAACTCCGTGCAAATGCAATGTGAACTTAAATTAGGGGTAAAGTAATTGATATGGTGGAAAGAAAAGATGTACTGTAAAATAGTCTTTAGATAAAAAACCATGGACGGTTACTCTTTGCATTACCTTGTTACCATTTGCAGATTAATGACTTTGTCGAAGCAGCTCAGAAATATAAGAGTGGCATCGACAATTTTGATGGATCTTTATCAAAGGATATGCATTCATCTTGCAACATGTATGTCATGACATTTGAATCAGCATTTCTTTCTTTCTTTCCTTTCTTTCATCCGTCCCTTTTTGATCTTCCACTTATAACCTCTTTCTCTACATATTTTCAATTTTCATTACTCATTTGATGAAAATATATAATCAGTTTGTTGTTTTGTAGAACTTTTTATGTGGTTTTGAATATATAAATTTTATTGCACGAACATTTAAATAAATTGAATTAAAAATAATTTCAGTCAAATATCGTAATCCAAAACGGGAAGATCAAATAGGGACTTAGGGAGTATTTGATAACAGAAATGATTTTTTATGCCTTGTCTATATGAAAAACGAAAAATGTCATCTTTTATTATTGGTCTTATAGGTTTGTCACAGCAGAGCATCAGCTAGCAAGGAGTCTGCAGCTGTCATTGGTTAATGATTTAGGATTTTCTAGAAAACATTTTAGGTGTTTACAGGTAGAGACATCATTCTTTTTGAACACATACCCTACTTTGTATCTCCCCATGAAGTGAACTGATTTTACTACCTTTCTTTTTTTTTACTTTGGGATCAATAAACAGATATCCGAAGTTGTCGGCACCATGAAAGATTTAATAACTATTTCACAAGAGCTCGGCATTGGACCCATTGGTATGGACACTATCTCATTTACTTCTTTTGCACCTTACATTCAATTAACTTTCGTATAAACATTGGAACACTGGTTGAGCCGTTGAGGTGATGTGTGTGACCTTGTGCTCATGGGGTTCGAGTTCTGAAAGTATCCACTTGCAAAAATACAAATGTAAGGTGGGACCCCTTACCCATACCCTTGCTCAACGGAGATGCCTTGTGCTCCGAATTTGATTGAATTTTTTGTTAGGTAAAAAGTTTTTGGTAGCATCCATTTCGGCCAAATAAGGAAGTTAAAAGCAAATTATTCTCCTTATTGTGTTGATGAGCTGAATAATAGCAGAACTATACAACTAAACGGAGGCTATATGTTAATATGAACTCCGCATTTGAGATTTTATAAAATGTGAATGAATTACATTTTGGACACTCTTTCGTCGTTCTTAGAAACATTATATTCACCAAATTGAGACGATTCCTTCGATGCCCACTCAAATGAACCCTAAGCTTTTTCAGTACGTTATTGATTGATTATGTAATCCTACAACTTAATGTAGAGTGTTTGAAGAACTATTCAAGGTTGAAGGAAGGAAAAGAGACAAGGACCGCCCACAGTGGGGTAACCACTAGAGATGGCTCAGATGATGGGCAAGAGGTAGATAATCGTTTCTCAAAAAAAAAAAAAAAACAGAACTTGTATGGTTTGGAGAGAGAGGTTTTGGTGGTTTCAGTCTATATATCTTAATATATACGAGTGTATTTTAGAAGAGCTAACATGGTGAGGGCCCTATGGTGCTTCGTTCGACTCCAAAGTGGTCCCTACCCCCTAACTCCCCACAACACCCTTCATGCCCATGTTTTGTCGAATGAAGCACCATGGGGCCCTCAACTGAATTTGTGTCATATTATGACACCGGGGTTGGATGTTAAAAGAACCCTAGTCATTTTAGAAATATTCTACTCCGTACTTTGTAGAGATACAAATGAAGCCCATCCAAAGCATTCTCCTCCAATAGGCTCCATCCAAACAAACCCTTAGAGTTAAGGGACGGGCGTGGAGAAAGTACACAAAAGTACAAACCTTTCTATCTTTAACTTCCATTTGATGGTGTTTTAAGTATTACAGTTCCAGGATGGGCATGGAGAACTCAATAGAACACTCAGTTAAGCTGGTTTTTTGCACAAGAGAAAGCAACCTGCAGCAGAGTTAAAGGACTTTTGAGGCTGCCCTAAAAGGTTCATACCATGTTGTTGCAGGAGATGGCAAATAGTAGTGTGCTTTCAGCTTTACCTAAGGGCTTGTTTGGCTTGAGAATTTCATCATTGAAGGGGTGGCGCGGGCATTTGATTTTTTCTTTTTAAAACTAATGGATCTTACATCTATACTTTTAAAGTATGTATCTTCACATAAGTTTTCATATTTGTTCTTTCCAAACTAAAAATGTTATATTCGTCGTAACTCGTAAATTAATAAAATAAACATCGTCCTTAAATGTGACGCATTCCATTGTTACTACATTTCCCCCCTTCAAAAGCCACATTTTCTGGCATCCAAATACTCATTTTTCAAGCTCTTTTTTGGCACAACTGAAAAGTATAACCAGATTTTGGAAACCAGATGGTTTTTATTTTTTTGTTTGGCAGCTTTAGTCATAGAATGTTATATAATGGGTACAGATGTAAAAGGATTCCACAACTGACCAATGAAACAATATAATAATCACTTTATTGAAAGAAATATAAAATATATTGTTGATACTATGTATCTTACAATACAGATGATTTAGACAGTGAACAGAGAAACACTAATTAGAAAGTAAAGAATTTTGATCTTACATAAAGAATTTAAAAGAACAATCAGAATCTGCCCCTACACAGTATACATCAACATAAAAAGAATCTGTCATTTTTCCCCTGAAACCTAAAAAATATCCAAACAGAGACCTAATTAATCAATCTTATCTGCAGTAAAGAATAAAGAATATAATATCTAAAACAAAGAATTTGGTTATCCTTTCCTTTCCTGCTGCTCTATACTGACCTCCAAACACCACCCACAAAACAGAAAAAATAAACCTGTGATTTGTGTATGAAGGCATCATCATCATCATCAACATAATTATAATTATGAGCTTTCTGCAACATCATATGGTGTCCATGCTGAGACTGTATAAAGTGTCTGATCTTCCCAACTTATAGTCAATGCTTCTTCTTCCCCTTCCTTCAGCACCTTGTATTTCTCTACAGAATGCATCTTAAGCAGCATTTGGCATTGCATAAATTCCCTCTCTGTGATTCCCAAACATCTGAAATTACCCTTCTGCCCCAATAACTCCCTCCACTTCCTGAACCTCAAATGTCTCTCGTACCTTTCCCGTCCTTCGCAGCCGATGATGTTCCTTATTTCCCGCCCAAACATTGCCTCAATCTTCACCCTCACTGGGCTATCCAATGGAAGACTCAAATCAAGAGAGTCAAAAACAGCAGCATAGTATTTCAATGATTCTGCCATTCTTGATTCCAAAGTGGGCCCATTGTGATCACTTTCTTGTTCTGCAATCACAATGGCTATCGGGTTTGTGCTTCGGATCAAACCCAAGAGATTAGTTAACGCACGATCTGACCCGTTGTACAAAACCTTGTGCATCTGGAGCATGCAATTTACTGCAACGGATTCGCCTTCTTTAACGTGGAGCATCCATAGCCTTAAATCCTCAAGACTATCAACCACTGGATGGAATTCAAAGGAAAGATTCAATCTTTCTGCAAAACCAGACAGTCTTTCGCTCGTTCGGAGAAGTTCTTGTTTGGATTCTCCAACCCCAGTGATTCTTATGTGGCTTGGAGGGTTATTCCTGGAAGCCAGGCTCTGAAACAGACCAGGCCATTGTAGTCCCTGCTTGATGTCAAAATCTATGATGTGAACCTTTTCTTTCCCTTCAAAGACTCTCAGAAGAATCTCATTTGATGTGAAGTGTATGAACTTTGGGATTGGGGTGACGGTGTTCAAGAATCTCAATGCTGTGGAATCATTCTCATCATCATCAACAACATCAAGAATTTCTCTTGGAGGGGAAATGTGGAAGATGTGAGGCCAATTCCAAGAAACCCTCAGTACCAAAGCTTCAGTGAAGTAGGAAATCAGGCGGCAAATCGGCGATGACCCCATAGGAGAAGAAAGTTCACCTAATCTTGCAATGAAATGGTGGATGGCTGTAATGTTCTTTGAGGTTACTGCATCAACACAAGCCACCAGTAAGCTGATTAGCTCAATCCCATTCTGGGATTCTTCTGCCAAAGAAGAACTCTCACCTGGATTAGTTGGATTCGATCCATTATTACCAGTTTCTTGATCAGTAATGGGGTTGCTATAATTGCTTGGGCTTTCTGAAGAAGTGCTTGCTCCAGAGGGTTCTCCTCCTGTTTCTTGATGGGAATGGATTCTCCCACTCTCTTCTTCTTCGTCTTCATCTCCACCTGATAAAAACCAAAACTTTCCACTTCCCAAAAGCAAAACCTTTTTATCTTGATCTTCTTCGTCATCTTCGGAATCCCCAGATTTCTTCAAACAACCCCTCCTCCTCTTCTTCCTCTTCGCTATGTTATCGTAACCACAAATCTCCTGCTCTGCATATCTCTTCAAGCTTCTCTTCTGCAATGGTGGGAGAAGGCGAAGGCTGTTCTGCTTGCTATCAATGGAGAGGCCAACAACAGAAGGAGGCCTCACAATGGCCTGAGATCTCGAAGAGGCGTCTTTTCTTAGAAAACCACTGCACGGCTGCAAATCCAATCTATGTGTGCTCATCGAAGGCAAATTGCAAGCTTTCAACTGTTCGGACGAAGAAGACGAATCACTCCTTAGTAATGATAATCTATGCCTTGGTGACAACAATGTTGATGATGAAGAAAACCCAGCCAACATTCTTCTTCAAAACTTTCCTGTTTCCTTATCTGCCCCTCCCTCTACAACACCATCTACCACTCTAACAGTAAACACTCATTTGGTATGAAATTGGCAATCAAATTTCTACAGAGAGATTTTCAAGAAACAGAGCAATATCTATGTATATATGTATATTTATGCCTCTAATCCGTGCGAGTGCAAGACTTCAAAGAAATTAAAAAAAAAAATACAAAATTTTGGAATCCGACGTCAAAAAAACAATCAGTGGGAAGGGTTTTGTGTCCTAGATGTAATATGTATATGTGCAACAAAGAATGGGTCAAGAAAACAAAGAATCAAAGAATTGGAAAGAATATTAGAGCTAAGACCACTACTAGGAAATCAAGAAAAGATCATCGGATTCCTGAAAATTCATGGAGAAATCATGTGGAGGCTAAGAAATCTTGTGTCTTAAGAGATTGGGACATTCTTGATCCCCAAAACCCAGGAAAACACAACATAGAGAATCCTGGGAAATTACCCAGAGAGAATCAAACAGGGCCTAAGACCCCTAAAACCCCCCCTCCCCAAAAAAACCCAGACTTTGAAAAAATCCTTCAAGAATTCATGAAAACGATTACAATTATCCAGGAGAAACAAACAAGTGGAAATTCCTATAGCCCCACTACCCAAAAAAAGGCTATACGGGAAATAGAAATCAAGATTTTATATATTGGATAAGACTCTCTCTCTCCCTCTCTCTCTCTCTCCCTCTCTCTCTTTCTATCTCTCCCTATCTCTCTGGTCTGGTTTGTTTACTGCGGTGGTTTATTATGGGTGCAGGGGAAAAGAAGGGGAATCTGGCCGTTGGATGGAGATCGGACGGTGGTGGGTGGAAGAGAATATGGCCGTTGAGACATGCCGGTGGAATATGACCGTTGGAGGGGTTTGGTTCTGTTTGTTTGTACGGAACAGAGTGTAACATGTTTAGTAGCGGTTTGTTTTTATCGACTACGAGTATTTATTTTTAGTAAGTTTTAGGAAAATTTAATGGAAGAAAAATCTACCTAGACCATAAATTAAATATGGTTTAAATAAATAAATGTTATAAAAAATTTGATATATCAAAACTATACCTTAAGATTAACTCAATCATATTAAATTTATATTATAATTCAATATATTTTTTCATAATTTGTAGTCAAAGAATATCACGATTTGACAAAAAAATTAAAACAAGAAGAATTTTTAAGATCAGATAGAGTATAAAATTCAATGTGATGACTATTATTCTACCAAATGAATAAAATTTGACCCGTAAATAGGGGTTGTAACATTCATTTTGAAAAGGAATATATAAATAAGATATAAATACCAAAATAAGACTAAAACGTGTTCCAAATCAAGACACAATGCCAAATCATAATGTTTCATTTGGTTAAATATGTTTTTCGTCCTTGTAAAATAGGCGACTTTTATTTTTGGTCCCTATTAAAAATATTTTTTTGTTAAGCCATCCTTACAAAATTTTAAATTTTTTAAATGCTCCTTAAATATAATATTACACTTCTAATTTGTTGACATAATACATTTATTTTGTACTAAACATACTAGTCTTACATTTCTACTACCTCTGATATAATTCTCATGCCTAAATTTTTTCTTTATTCATATTATTTCTCCAATTATCAATTTTTTAAGAATAAAATATAATAAAATTTAGAAACTAAGAACGTAATTCAATGAAACAGATGATCTATGACATGAGAATTATCTCTCAGATAATTAGAAACATAAAAGTAAATTTATTATCTCGATAAATTAGAAGTTTAAATTATATTTAAGGACCGTTTTAAAAATAAAATTTTTTGTAAGAATGACTTAACAAAAATTTATTTTGCAGTGATCAAAAATAAAAATAACCTATTTTATAGGGATAATAGTCTAATACTACAAGTTTTACTTAGAAGGGAGGCCAACCCCTTCTCTGTGTTAATCCTGTTTAAATATATTTTTTCATAAATAAGGGATCATTTTGTAATTTTGATAATTTTTATGCTTCTTTCCTTCTAATTCAAATCTCTTACTTCAGTTTACAATATTTGATTGAAGTTATTTTTAATACAATTTATTTGATAATTTTTTATATTCTCTTCATTCTAGTTTAAATCATCTATTTCAGTTTATAGTGTTTAACTGATAGTTTATTTGAGAATTTGAGTGAAATCAAACAATACAATTTATTAAGTAAAACTATACCAAAAACTCTATGAAACAAGAGATGATCTAATTATATTATTTATCAAATGAGTAATGAAAATAGGAATTGAAAGTGAATAAAACATAAATCCATAAATAATAAACAGACAGCTTAATTTAAATCAACAGAATATTACTACACATGCAGTACCTGAAAAAATTGAAAGGAGAGAAAAAATGGTAGAGCCTGTTGAGGTGGCCCAAACCCAACAAAGGACCCAAACTCAAATCAAAAAACTAATAAAGGAAAGAACTACTTCATCCATCCCTTTCTCATTTCCTTATTTGCCAAAAAACTTTTAATGATTGTGTCATTATGCCCACATTTTTTTATCTAGACTATTTACTCTATTTCATCACAGCAAAGGCAATGTATGAAAAATCTTTATACTTTTAATTTTTCTTAATATCCGTGTCAAGTCAAACCAGAAAAAAAAAATTAGAGGGAAGGAGTATCACAAACTAATTAAGCCAATACAAAAGTCTAGCCAAGCTTGCGATACATGTAACATCATTGCGTGGAGGCCGTCTGAGTGCTATTACCCATTTCATCATTTTGGACCAATGAACAACCCTACTCTCAACAGCCCATTTTTACTCTCACCGCACCAAACAACACTGTAGTACATTATATATCTCAAGTTTTTCTTGCTTCATAGTGACTCAAAACCAAAACAAGGACTTCATGACTTTTATGATATACTCGATATCAAAAGTTGAATAAATATAGATATACATCATGCATACATTCATTCATATTTTAAAGTGAAGAATGAATATTTTCTATTGATTATCATGTGTGAATACAAGGGATATTATATAGTAGAGTATTCCTAGTTATAATAGGAAACCTACCATGTTAGGAATCCTTAATTAATAAGGACTATACATGTATGGAAACTACAATATACACAAGATACTAAATATATACTTTATATATTTAACATGCTCCCAACGGCACTGGTGTGGAACGCCGAACGCCCAAGCAATCCCGGAATTCTGAAAAAATGATGGATGGAAGACCCTTCGTGAAGATATCAGCATACTGGAGAGACGAAGGGACATGTAGGACGCGGATCTGTCCGAGAGCCACTCGGTCTCTAACGAAGTGTATGTCAACCTCGATGTGCTTCGTGCGCTGATGCTTAACTGGATTTGCAGAGAGGTAGACGGCACTCACATTATCACAAAAAACAAGAGTGGATCGACTGAGTGGTTGCTGGAGCTCGAGGAGAAGATTACGTATCCAGCTGACTTCGGCTACGACGTTGGCTACTGCTCGGTATTCTGCCTCGGCACTGGATCTGGACATGGTGAGTTGGCGCTTAGAAGACCAGGAAATGAGATTATCGCCAAGGAATATGCAATAGCCGGAGGTGGACCGGCGGGTGTCAGGGCAGCCGGCCCAATCGGCATCAGAATAGGCTCGCATCTTGTGTGTGGGAGATTTGGAGATGGAGATGCCATGTGATGGTGTGCCATGAAGATATCGTAAAACCCGCTTCATGGCCGTGACATGGGGTGTGCGAGGATCATGTAGGAAGAGACAGAGCTGCTGCACGGCATAAGTGATGTCAGGACGAGTGAAGGTGAGGTACTGTAGGGCCCCCACAATGGAGCGGTACAGAGAGGGATCTGGCACAGGTGTTCCTCCTGAAGTTGATAGTTTCCCGCGTGTATCAACCGGAGTGGAAATCGGTTTACAGTTGAGCATGCCCGCTCGATCAAGAATATCATAGAGAAACTGAGTCTGTGTCAGGAACAAGCCACTGGAGGTGCGCTGAACATTGATCCCAAGAAAAAAATGTAGGTCCCCCATATCTGTCATGGCAAACTCACCCTTCAACCGCTGTATGACCCGCTGTAGAAGATCCTGCGAGGAAGCCGTGAGAATGATGTCATCAACATACAGAAGTAGGAAAGCCATTTGAGACCCCTGGCCATAAGTGAACAGTGAGGTGTCGCTCTTGCACCCGCGAAAGCCAAGCGTGAGAAGAAAGCCAGTAAAACGGTGATACCAAGACCGCGGTGCTTGTTTCAGTCCATAGAGCGCCTTGTTCAGTTTGCACACATAGTGGGGTCGGGCAGGATCCTGAAATCCGGATGGCTGGGCCGTGTATACCGTCTCTGTGAGAGTGCCATGAAGGAAGGCATTCTTGACATCAAGCTGGTGAATTAGCCATCCTCGTGAGACGGCTAAACTGAGAATGATCCGAATAGTTGCCGGTTTAACCACCGGGCTGAATGTCTCATCATAATCTATGCCATGACGCTGATTGAATCCTCGAACAACCCATCTGGCTTTGTACCTGGACAGTTCACCTGTAGGGCTAAGTTTGTGTCTAAAAAGCCATTTACCGGAGATAATATTTTGGTTAGGGGAGGGAGGTACTAAATCCCATGTATTATTAGCAATCAAAGCATTATATTCATCTAACATAGCATTGTACCAATTGTGATCTTTAAGTGCACTACGGTAGGTGGGGGGAATGGGAGAGATGCTAGCAATGGTGTTTAGGTTTAGGACTCGTTTAGGGCAAAAGATCCCCGCCTTAGCGCGNAAAGCAGCAATTAATCAAGGGTCTAACAGAAACAACCTTGTTCTTTTACGGGTTAGGGTTGCTATATGTTGACCCTCTTAGACCCCAACCGAGTTAGGATTATATTGGATTTTGTTGGTTATGTTTTGTGTGCTGACTTAAGTATTAGAAACAATACTCTTTTTGGGACAGAGGTAGTATCTTATTTGTACTCTCTAAATTTGTTTAATTATTGTGAATCAATTTTGGAATGCATGTTCTGCAGAATAATGACATCGACTATTGGAGGAAGTTTAGTTCAGAATATTATGCTCCTTGTGCTAAGCAAAGGTGGTGTTTGTCTATGTGCAAAAATATAAGCCAACAAGCTCTAGATCTTTTCACGGAGACAGCCATGGTTAGACCTTGCAGACTATGAATATCTGTTTCGTGTTCTCTCTCTCTCTCTCATGCTTGTTTAATTCCCAGGAATCTTGGTGCTGTAGCATTTGTGGTTCGAAATCCTCAAAAGGATTTGGTAAGCATTGTGTGATTTCAATTAATATACAATGTGAACCCCGTAGGACTATGTCCATATGAAATCATTCACTTATCACACTGATTTTTATACTCTCGCGTCCAAAAACTGCCATTACTACCCTTACAGAAGTAACATATGAAGCTCTTCCGAGGCTTTTCAAAACAAATTTTGAGAGTGGGATGCTGGATGAAATCATGTTCCTTGGATTGCCTCAAGAACACATTTTTCCTTCCGGGTTAATAATGTTGGAATATGGCAAAGTAGTTCAAGAGAGTGTTTATGAGAAATTTCGCATCGTTCATGAGGGTAAACTTCGTGTAATCTTCAGGGGTGACTTGAAGGTGAGCTTCATCACCGATAAGGAGTCATTTAGAATAACATTTTTAAAATTCCTTTGCATCTTGTATTTGTATCTATCGTTTTCTCTCCCGTATTCTTATTTATTCCCTCTACATTCTCAGATTGTTTATTGGGAATTCTGTGCACAATGTCATGAAGAGTTTTTACAGCACCAGTTGATTGCTAGACAGGTACAATATCCTCCGGGATTTGATAAAAGTGATGAACTTTGTGGCTAGATAAAGTTCAAAGTACATTTAAGTGCGCTTATAAAGAAAAATGGGTAAAATGGAGAGAGAAATGGTAAGATAAAATACTCCATTTGCCTCTAATTTAAGAGCCCCTTTTCCTTTTTGGGACCTCTCAAAATAAAGTTATCATATTCTTCTAAGGGAGAATCGTGTGGTTCATATTATTTCTCTCATTTCAACAACAAAATCTCATCTTTTTAAAACTCCGTGAAAATGCAACGTGAACTTAAATTAGGGGTGAAGTAATTGATATGGTGGAAAGAAAAGATGTACTGTAAAATAGTCTTTAGATAGAAAAACCATGGACGTTTACTTTTCGCATTACCTTGTTACCATGTGCAGATTAATGACTTTGTCGAAGCAGCTCAGAAATATAAGAGTGGCATCGACAATTTTGATGGATCTTTATCAAAGGATATGCATTCATCTTGCAACATGTATGTCATGACATTTGAATCAGCATTTCTTTCTTTCCTTTCTTTCATCCATCCCTTATTAATCTTCCACTTATAACCTCTTTCTCTACATATTTTCAATTTTCATTACTCATTTGATAAAATTATATAATCAGTTTGTTGTTTTGTAGAACTTTTTATGTGGTTTTGAATATATAAATTTTATTGCACTAACATTTAAATACATTGAATTAAAAATAATTTTGGTCAAATATCTTTATCCAAAACGGGAAGATCAAATAGGGACTTAGGGAGTACTTGATAACAGAAATGATTTTTTATGCCTTGTCTATATGAAAAAAGAAAAATGTCATCTTTTATTATTGGTGTATAGGTTTGTCACAGCAGAGCATCAGCTAGCAAGGAGTCTGCAGCTGTCATTGGTTAATGATTTAGGATTTTCTAGAAAACATTTTAGGTGTTTACAGGTAGAGACATCATTCTTTTTGAACACATACCCTACTTTGTATCTCCCCATGAAGTGAACTGATTTTACTACCTTCCTTTTTTTTACTTTGGGATCAATAAACAGATATCCGAAGTTGTCGGCACCATGAAAGATTTAATAACTATTTCACAAGAGCTCGGCATTGGACCCATTGGTATGGACGCTATCTCATTTACTTCTTCTGCACCTTACATTCAATTAACTTTCGTATAAACATTGGAACACTGGTTGAGCCGTTGAGGTGATGTGTGTGACCTTGTGCTCATGGGGTTCGAGTTCTGAAAGTATCCACTTACAAAAATACAAATGTAAGGTGGGACCCCCTACCCATACCCTTGCTCAACGGAGATGCCTTGTGCACCGAATTGGATTGAATTTTTTGTTAGGTAAAAAGTTTTTGGTAACATCCATTTCGGCCAAATAAGTTAAAAGCAACTTATTCTCCTTATTTTGTTGATGAGCTGAATAATAGCAGAACTATACCACCAAACAGAGGCTATATGTTAATATGTACTCCGTATTTGAGATTTTATAAAATGTGAATGAATTACATTTTGGACACTCTTGGGTCGTTCTTAGAAACATTATATTCACCAAATTGAGACTATTCCTTCGATGCCCACTCAAATGAACCCTAAGCTTTTTAGTACGTTATTGATTGATTATGTAATCCTACAACTTAATGTAGAGTGTTTGAAGAACTATTCAAAGTTGAAGGAAGGAAAAGAGACAAGGACCGCCAACAGTGGGGTAACCACTAGAGATGGCTCAGATGATGGGCAAGAGGTAGATAATCGTTTCTCAACTACGCAAAAAAAAAAAAAAGAATTTGTATGGTTTGGAGAGAGAGGTTTTGGTGGGCTCAGTCTATATATCTCTTAATATATACGAGTATATTTTACAAGAGCTAACATAGTGAGGGCCCTATGGTGCTTCGTTCGACTCCAAAGTGGTCCCTACCCCCTAACTCCCCACAACACCCTTCATGCCCATGTTTTGTCGAATGAAGCACCATAGGGCCCTCAAATGAATTTGTGTCATATTATGACTCCGGGGTTGGATGTTAAAAGAACCCTAGTCATTTTAGAAATATTCTACTTTGTAGAGATACAAATGAAGCCCATCCAGAGCATTCTCCTCCAATAGGCTCCATCCAAACAAACCCTTAGGGTTCAGGGATGGGCGTGGAGAAAGTACACAAAAGTACAAACCTTTCGATCTTTAACTTCCATTTGATGGTGTTTTAGGTATTACAGTTCCTGGATGGGCATGGAGAACTCAATAGAACACTCAGTTAAGCTGGTTTTTTGCAAAAGAGAAAGCAACCTGCAGCAGAGTTAAAGGACTTTTGAGGCTGCCCTAAAAGGTTCATACCATGTTGTTGCAGGAGATGGCAAATAGTAGTGTGATTTCAGCTTTACCTAAGGGCTTGTTTGGCTTGAGAATTTCATCATTGAAGGAGTGGCGCGGGCATTTGATTTTTTTCTTTTTAAAACTAATGTATCTTCCATCTGTACTTTTAAAGTGTGTATCTTCACATAAGTTTTCATATTTGTTCTTTCCAAACTAAAAATGTTATACTCTTCGTAACTCGTAAATTAATAAATAAACATCGTCCTTAAATGTGACGCGTTCCATCGTTACGACATTTCCCCCTTCAAAAGCCACATTTTCTGGCACCCAAATGCTCATTTTTCAAGATCCTTTTTTGGCACAACTGAAAAGTATAACCAGATTTTGGAAACCAGATGGTTTTTATTTTTTTTGTTTGGCAGCTTTAGTCGTAGAATGCTATATGATGGGTAAAGATGTTAAAGGATTCCACAACTGACCAATGAAACAATATAATAATCACTTTATTGAAAGAAATATATAATAGATTGTTGATACTATGTATCTTACAATGCAGATGATTTAGAGAGTGAACAGAGAAACACTAATTACAAAGTAAAGAATCTTGATCTTACATAAAGAATTTAAAAGAACAATCAGAATCTGCCCCTACACAGTATACATCAACATAAAAAGAATCGGTCATTTTTTCCCCTGAAACCTAAAAAATATCCAAACAGAGACCTAATTAATCAATCTTATCTGCTGTAAAGAATAAAGAATATAATATCTAAAACAAAGAATTTGGTTATCCTTTCCTTTCTTGCTCTATACTGACCTCCAAACACCACCCACAAAACAGAAAAAATAAACCTGTGATTTGTGTATGAAGACATCGTCATCATCATCATCAACATAATTATAATTATGAGCTTTCTGCAACATCATATGGTGTCCATGCTGAGACTGTATAAAGTGTCTGATCTTCCCAACTTATAGTCAATGCTTCTTCTTCCCCTTCCTTCTGCACCTTGTATTTCTCTACAGAATGCATCTTAAGCAGCATTTGGCTTTGCATAAATTCCCTCTCTGTGATTCCCAAACATCTGAAATTACCCTTCTGCCCCAATAACTCCCTCCACTTCCTGAACCTTGAATGTCTCTCGTACCTTTCCCGTCCTTCGCAGCCGATGATGTTCCTTATTTCCCGCCCAAACATTGCCTCAATCTTCACCCTCACTGGGCTATCCAATGGAAGACTCAAATCAAGAGAGTCAAAAACAGCAGCATAGTATTTCAATGATTCTGCCATTCTTGATTCCAAAGTGGGCCCATTGTGATCACTTTCTTGTTCTGCAATGACAACAGCTATCGGGTTTGTGCTTCGGATCAAACCCAATAGATTAGTTAACGCACGATCCGACCCGTTGTACAAAACCTTGTGCATCTGGAGCATGCAATTCACTGCAACGGATTCGCCTTCTTTAACGTGGAGCATCCATAGCCTTAAATCCTCAAGACTATCAACCACTGGATGGAATTCAAAGGAAAGACTCAATCTTTCTGCAAAACCAGACAGTCTTTCGCTCGTTCGGAGAAGTTCTTGTTTGGATTCTCCAACCCCAGTGATTCTTATGTGGCTTGGAGGGTTATTCCTGGAAGCCAGGCTCTGAAACAGACCAGGCCATTGTAGTCCCTGCTTGATGTCAAAATCTATGATGTGAACCTTTTCTTTCCCTTCAAAGACTCTCAGAAGAATCTCATTTGATGTGAAGTGTATGAACTTTGGGATTGGGGTGACCGTGTTCAAGAATCTCAATGCTGTGGAATCATTCTCATCATCATCAACAACATCAAGAATTTCTCTTGGATGGGAAATGTGGAAGATGTGAGGCCAATTCCAAGAAACCCTCAGTACCAAAGCTTCAGTGAAGTAGGAAATCAAGCGGCGAATCGGCGATGACCCCATAGGAGAAGAAAGTTCACCTAATCTTGCAATGAAATGGTGGATGGCTGTAATGTTCTTTGAGGTTACTGCATCAACACAAGCCACCAGTAAACTGATTAGCTCAATCCCATTCTGGGATTCTTCTGCCAAAGAAGAACTCTCACCTGGATTTGTTGGATTCGATCCATTATTACCAATTTCTTGATCAGTAATGGGGTTGCTATAATTGCTTGGGCTTTCTGAAGAAGTGCTTGCTCCAGAGGGTTCTCCTCCTGTTTCTTGATGGCAATGGATTCTCCCACTCTCTTCTTCTTCGTATTCATTTCCACCTGATAAAAACCAAAACTTTCCACTTCCCAAAAGCAAAACCTTTTTATCTTGATCTTCTTCGTCATCTTCGGAATCCCCAGATTTCTTCAAACCCCTCCTCCTCTTCTTCCTCTTTGCTATGTTGTCATAACCACAAATCTCCTGCTCTGCATATCTCTTCAAGCTTCTCTTCTGCAATGGTGGGAGAAGGCGAAGGCTGTTCTGCTTGCTATCAATGGAGAGGCCAACAACAGAAGGAGGCCTCACAATGGCCTGAGATCTCGAAGAGGCGTCTTTTCTGAGAAAACCACTGCACGGCTGCAAATCCAATCTATGTGTGCTCATTGAAGGCAAATTGCAAGCTTTCAACTGTTCGGGCGAAGAAGACGGATCACTCCTTAGTAATGATAATCTATGCCTTGGTGACAACAATGTTGATGATGAAGAAAACCCAGCCAACATTCTTCTTCACAACTTTCCTGTTTCCTTATCTGCCCCTCCCTTTACAACACCATCTACCACTCTAACAGTAAACACTCATTTGGTATGAAATTGGCAATCAAATTTCTACAGAGAGATTTTCAAGAAACAGACTAATAAATATGTATATATGTATATTTATGCATCTAATCCGTGCGAGTGCAAGACTTCAAAGAAATTGAAAAAAATACAAAATTTTGGAATCCGACGTCAAAAAAAAATCAGTGGGAAGGGTTTTGTGTCCTAGATGTAATATGTATATGTGCAACAAAGAATGGGTCAAGAAAACAAAGAATCAAAGAATTGGAAAAAATATTAGAGCTAAGACCACTACTAGCAAATCAAGAAAAGATCATCGGATTCCTGAAAATTCATGGAGAAATCATGTGGAGGCTAAGAAATCTTGTGTCTCAAGGGATTGGGACATTCTTGATCCCAAAAACCCAGGCAAACACAACATAGAGATTCCTGGGAAATTACCCAGAGAGAATCAAACAGGGCCTAAGACCCCTAAAACACCCCCTCCCAAAAAAAACCCAGACTTTGAAAAAATCCTTCAAGAATTCATGAAAACGATTACAATTATCCAGTAGAAACAAACAAGTGGAAATTCCTATAGCCCCACTACCCAAAAAAAGGCTACAAGGGAAATAGAAATCAAGATTTTATATATTGGATAAGACTCTCTCTCTCTCTATCCCTCTCCCTCTCTCTCTCTCTCTCTCTGGTCTGGTTTGTTTACTGCGGTGGTTTATTATGGGTGCAGGGGAAAAGAAGGGGAATCTGGCCGTTGGATGGAGATCGGACGGTGGTGGGTGGAAGAGAATATGGCCGTTGAGACATGCCCGTGGAATATGACCGTTGGAGGGGTTTGGTTCTGTTTGTTTGTACGGAACAGAGTGTAACATGTTTAGTAGCGGTTTGTTTTTATCCACTATGAGTATTTATTTTTAGTAAGTTTTAGGAAAATTTAATGGAAGAAAAATCTACCAAGACCATAAATTAAATATGATTTATAGAAATAAACATTATAAAAAACTTATACATCAAAACTATATCTTAAGATTAACTCAATTATATTAAATTTATATTATACTTCAATATATTTTTTCATAATTTGTAGTTAAAGAATATCGCGATTTGACAAAAAAATTAAAACAAGAATAATTTTTAAGACCAGAGAGAGTATAAAATTTAATGTGATGACTATTATTCTATCAAATGAATAAAATTTGACCCGTAAATAGTGGTTGTGACATCCATTTTGAAAATGAGTATTAAAATAAGATATGAATACTAAAATAAGATTAAAACATGTTCTAAATCAAGACGCAATGCCAAATCATAATGTTTCATTAGGTTACATGTGTTTTTCGCCGTCCTTGTAAAATAGGTGATCTTTATTTTTGGTCCCTATTAAAAATATGTTTTGTTAAGTCATCCTTGCAAAATTTTAAATTTTTAAAATGCTCCTTAAATATAATATTACACTTCTAATTTATTAAGATAATAAATTAATTTTGTAGTAAACATAATATAATATGTTTTGATAATATAATTCTCATGCCTAAATTTTTTCTTTATACATATTATATCTCCACTTATCAAATTTTTTAAGAATATAATATAATAACATTTAGAAATTAGGAATCTAATTTAATGAAAAAGATGAGAATTATGTCTGAAATAATTAAAAATACAAAATTAAGATATCGATTATGAAATAAATTTATTATCTCAATAAATTAGAAGTTTAAATTATATTTAAGGACCATTTTAAAAATAAAATTTTTTATAAGAATGGCTTAACAAAAAATTATTTTACAAGAATCATAAACAAAAATCACCTATCTTATAGGCATAATACCACAACTTTTATTTATGATGGAAGTGTGTTGGGGCAGTGGAGGAGGCCAACCCCAACCCCTTCTTTGTTTTAATCTTGTTTAAATAGATTTTTCATAAATACGGGATCCTTTTGTGATTTTGATAACTTTTTATGCTCCTTTTATTCTAATTAAAATCTTACTTCAGTTTACAATATTAGACTGAAGTTATTTTTAATGTAATTTAATTGATAATTTTTTATACTCCTTTCATTCTAATTTAAATCATTTGTTTCAGTTTATAATATTTGATTGATAATATTTTCAATATAGTTTATTTGAAAATTAGAGTGAAATTAAACGATAAAATCTTTTTAGTAAAACAACACCAAAAACTCTATGAAATAAGAGATGACCTAATTATATTATTTATCAAATAAGTAATTAAAATAAGAAAAGAAAGTGAATAAATATAAATCAATAAATAATAAACAGACAACTTAATTTAGATCAACAGAATACTACTATATATGGAGTATCTGAAAAAATTAAAAGGAGAGAAAAAATGGTAGAACGTGGCCCAAACCCAACAAAGGACCCAGACTTGAATAAAAAAACCAATAAAAGACTTCATCCATCTATTAATTTCTTTCTCACTTTCTTTTTTGAGTCATCCAAAAATTTCTTTTCCATTTCCTTGTTTGGCAAAAAACTTTTAATAAATGTGTCATTATATCATACGGAGTACTTTTTATCTAAATTATTCACTTTACATAAAAAGTCTATATATATTTTAACTTTTCTCAATCTCCGTGTCAAGTCAAACTAGAAAAATTTGTTTTGGAAGGAGGGAGTACTACAAACTAATTAAGGTTGTGTTCCGTTCGTCTAACTTGCTCTAATTTTTTGAAGACCTAATCTGATCTAATTTGATTGAAGTTATAATTAAAGTTGTTTCTAATCTGATCTGATCTTATCTAATTTGGTTATAATAAAAATAAGTACTCCGCAATAAACATAAAAAATATACATGAAGGTAGTCTGAGTGTTATTACCCATGGCATCATCATGACTCAACATAAACTAAACTGCTTCCAGTCCAGTCCAGTTTTGGACCGATGAAGAGTCTTACTCTCAACAACCCATTTGAATATGGAGGTAAAAAAAATCATAAATACTCTCACCGCACCAAACAACATCATAGCACATTATGAGGGTGTTTGAGAGTAATTAACTTGTGGATAAAGTGATTTCCATAAAAGCTGAAAGCAAATGCACCCCATACCTGCTTCTCTGAAACGGTGTTCTATGTACAAATTAGTGGTGGTTAAAAGCAGAAGCTGACATGCCAAACAGAGTAAAATCACTTCCACTCAAAGTAGAAGCTAAATTGTTAAAAGCAGTGCACTGTCAAACACCCTCTATATATCTCACCTTTTTCTCGCTTCATAGTGACTCAAAGCCAAAACAAGGACTTCATGACTTTTATGATATACTCAATATCAAAAGTTGAATAAATATGGATATACATCATGTCTACATTCGTTCATATTTTAAAGTATGAAAAAAAATCATAACGACCAATTAAAAAGAACTAAGGAAGTAAAAGTATCCCAAGCTTTGAANAAAATCAAACATTCCCAGCTACCAGGCGCATAATATGCTTGTTCATAAATTATTAACACGATGCTGCAACCACCGAAATCGCATACTAAGAGCAAGATCCAACTAATCGCAGCAAATTCCATTAATTTCGTACTGAGTCATCGAGGAAGAAGAACACATCACACAACACAATAAAACATTTCTAGTTTGATAGGCGTCTTCGTGCTGCTCCAGCAGCCAGGTGATATGTACATTCATTCAACGTTATCACTTGCCCGCCCACCAACATCCCACCAATCTTTTAGCATGCATATATATATATATATATATATATATATATATATATATATATATATATATATGATTTGCTCAAAAACAGGAAATTGAAAAGAGAACCTATATGAGCTCCAGATACAATGCTTCTTGTTTGCTGGTCAAGCCAAGTTCACTCAGAGTTAAGGAAGCTTCTTCAGTGCTATATGCGCGCCTGGGGTATGGTCTCACCTACACATAGTACATAATCATATTTAATTGCCCCTTAAAAATATGGAAGCTGTAGGGGAACTATAGAAAGAACAACAACCTACTCATGTAAAAATAAAATATAAAGGGTGCCCTTGATGCATTTACTACCCAAAGCTTCATGGAAAGTAAGGAAGAAAAAAGTTTAGTGTGTCATTTTGATTTACTCGATTATTTACCCGAATCTAGAACTTGTTATTGAACTTTTAGATTTTTGGGTGGGGGGGGCAATAAAGATTAATTAGTCTAATTCTTGTGTGGAGATTAATTGAGAGACTGAACAGGGATATTTCACAGACATGATTTAGAGCAATTTATGACAAGTTAAATGAAAGAATTGAGAGAAAATCAAATACTCCCTCCATCCTGAAATAAACTTCTCACTTTCTTTTTTGGATTGTCCCAAAATAAACTTCTCATTCCTTTTAAAAGAGGTTTTGAATGGTGCACATTATTGCTCTCTCCATAAATCGCAACCACACAATTTCACTTTTTTAAAACTCCGTGAAAATTTGAAAAAAAAGAAATGTAATGAGAGAGCAATCCAGTTTCTATGTCTAGGAAAATATGAGAAATAATTGTAATGCAACTTTTAGCTTATTTAAACTGATAATCCATCAGTGCTACTTAAAAAGTAATTGTCCATCTTTCCTTTTGTGATGCCCATAATTAGTTGCCTGATTACTATATTTAGATATCATTTTTTTAATTGTCCAACAAACCCCTGAAGTATAACAAACATTACTTTAAATATTATGTTACAAATATGAATTTACACATACGATGAGTAATTTTGTCATTGTATCATAATACTTACGGGCATATTTTATGTATTTTGGAAAGTGAACTGTTAAACACGGACAAATCCGGACAGGATGTTAACAGGTGGAGTAATTTGTTAACTCATGATTTACCAAAAAAAGAGAACGATATTTCTATGGCAAGGCAGTAAGGTGACCACAAACAAACAGGAAATAAAATGGAGAGCATTTCAAATAATACGAGAAAAGCTTTGAATTTTTTAAGTATCATACCAATCTGTATGTGCCAGGCTTCACCACCCTTCCGACATCAATGAAATCAAACAGACACTGTAGTTAAAGCAATGCAAATCAAGTCAGATCAGAATCCGGAATGCTG